TGTGTGTGCCAGATGGAAAAGACACATATGAAATATTTACATATTAAACATTCAGTCTAGACACACACTGTGCACTAATTTTTTTTTCTAAATGAGCCTCTTCTCAACTTCTCGTCTTTGTCTTTCCCTTTCCTATCCAGTCCAGTCTGTTCTGATTGTAATAACTTAAAAGTAAAACAGAAATAAATACATAAATAAATAATAAAGATCAAACAAACCATGACAAAAAGAAGATGACTTGCAAATTACATAGTGTTGCTGATTTTGTCCACTTTAAAGTAAACAGAGTCTGTCAGAAAGAGACAGATCTCACATTATGGGAATATGTGGCAAACCAAGAAAAGGAAGAAGTAATTGCAAAGAGAAAGAGTCCGTCTGAGTAAGCACAAAAAAGTTCTACTTCCTCATCACCCAGTTTGAGCTTTATCAGTTCATAGATGGTACAATCATTCAGTAATTAGCCTCAAAGATGGGGGTTAGAATGGGCCCTCAATGCCTATTAGATTGTCATGAGATTTGCTATCATTCATTCAAATGGAGGATCACACACAGTAATACTCCAGATCTGGAATAAGCACTTCAAATATAACGTTAACACTGTGTAACATGAATGTTAACATAATAGTCATTACAAATTCATTTGTAAAGATATGAACCCATCTTTGTGCTGCTAGCTTAAAGTTACTGTCACAGTTGTCACATGTTTCTCATACAGGAAGTCAGTCACAGTGAAAGTAAATTGGAAACATTTACATTATGCAAAAATTGCCAGACTATCGGAAGTGAGCAATGACAAACCAGTTTACAGTAAACATTTGCTGTCCGAAGTTTTAAATACCCTAAAAATTAAAAGCCAAAAGCACATCTTTGTGACTATGATGAAAAGTTCATAATCAGGTTTTGGGTCAGGCTACACTGTGACTGTTTCTCAAATACTTATTTTGCAAGTTTCTTTGTGTTCATGTCTCAGGGTAAAGATGGTTTACAGTCTTACAGTCCCTAATGTAGAAGCCCTAGGATTGTGTGTAAGGAACGACGGTGTGGAAAATCCACACTTATCTTTAAAATTCTCTTTCCATTACTGATGTAGTCATTTTTACTTTGCTGTGTTAGGCTCTTTGGGTTTGGACCCAGGGTCTTGAGTTTATGTAGGTTTTTTATTCATTCCTTTTATTCGTTCTATTATATGATTATATTTTAGTTCTTTATTGCTTAGTCCTTTGGTTTTTAGTATTTTTCCCCTCTGCTTCCTACTTTAGTTTTTTATGTTTCTAGTTCTTTGTTCCCTCGTCTGGTTAGTTCCCTTTTGTATCAAGTCTGTCTTGAACTTTTGTCTCCGTGTTTGTTTCTCTGTCTGGTCTCCGTCACTGTATTTGTTTACTTTTCTGTCAGTGTCAAGTCAGCAATTTCTATTTCCTGTGTTACTTTGACAGCTTATGTTCCGGTGTCGGCTATAGTCTCGACTGTGTGTCCTCCTTAAAGTCTTAGTTTAGATGTCTGGAAAGAAGTTTCACACACTAATTAGGGAT